ATAATAATAATAATAATAATAATAATAATAATAATAATAATAATAATAATAATAATAATAATAATAATAATAAAATGTTACATAAATAAACGGAAAACTTAATCTTAATCCTAAAATACTAGGTAATTCCATTGATCGGGTCCGCTAAATTTTCATGATTTTATCCGTTTCTATGATTAGGAGTTCCACTTTTTGGACGATATTGCCCTTTTGGGCTCTTTTCATCAATTAGATATATTAATTTTTTTATTTTTTATTAACATAAATAACCCAATTGCATCTTGACCATATATTGATAAAGTATACGATTGGAAAGTGGGTTTCATAGTTTGTACTAATAATTTGATTTGCGAAATAAACTCATATATATGTATACATATATATATATATATGTGTGTGTAGATATATATATATATATGTATATATAGATAGATGAGCGATTAAATGCAAATCATCCAATTTGTACAAACTTGCAAACCACTCTAATCCATCGATTTCATTGTTTAATCTTGTGAAATTGTTTCATATAATACTTTTTTTGATGAACTTGTTTTATATATAGTTATGAAATTGTTTCATATAATACTTAATGAAATTTTAATGAAATTGTTTCATGTATTTCTATAAAATTAAAATAATAAAAATAATAATATGCATAATTAACACCCTCCATAATAAAAATGATTAATCAACCTCTCATAATTACAAAAAAGAAAATGAACAAGATGAAAAATTATGATTGGTTGATAAGGTTTGTACAAATAACGTGGTTTGCAAAGTAAACATCTTCTATATAGATATGTGTATATATGTATGTATGTTTATATATATATTAGAAGGGTAGTCATGCAATGCAGTGGGATACATCTCGATTTTAATGTTTCGTTCTATTCTGTCTCCATCGATGCCATAATACGATTTTATATGATACCGAAAAAACGAGAATGTTTTTATTTTTTGAATTATATATAAATTTGAAGGTATCATAAAATTTTGAAGGAAAATATATTGTTTTATTATCAAATTAAATATTTAAAAGTTCTTGTTTTTTTTTTGCGTAACTTATTTAATTTAATATTTTATTATAATTTAATTTAGATTTAATAATGAAGTCAATTATTCTTGATTTAATAATATAGTTTTTATTATAAAGAAAATAATTAGTATTTTTTTAGAATTCAATAATCATCCTAAATATATTTTAGATTTTTTATATTTAAAACGAGATACCTATCTAGTATTTGATTATCTTTATCTGCAATTAGTTACATGATTCAAACATGGAGTTTTATTAATTTGTATATACGTACAATTTACTTATAATCTTTAATTTTAAGTAATATGCATCAATAAACAGTATCTAATGCATAAAAATGGTTTTTAAAAGTTTTTATCAAATGTTTTATAATATAGTATATATACATATATATATATATATGTGTGTGTGTGTGTGTACATATATAGGCGAATGATCATGTGAGGATATGAATTCAGGTGAAAAGTGTAAGAAAAGATCTGAACCCTTGATCACTTTTTAATATCATGTCCACTCTAGAATTGTGTTTATCATGGGACTTGATTTGATGCATCTCGATGCACCGTATTAGTGTTCATCTTCAATTATGATTGATCCAAGCGTGGAGATCATTTTTTACCATTCTCACCATAACTTTTATTCTCACGGGAGCCAAACCCTGTATATATAGAGGGAGGATCTTCTGTTAACCGATAAAAAATGTTAATTTCACAAACCTTTACTTACCAATCAGAAATAAGTTCTACATTTGGTTAATTCACATGGTTTAGGCATTAATGAGGGTAACAATGTAATTGTCTATTTGGTCTTTCTTTTAATGCATAATAATGGATTGTTACATTTTTAATTATTCCATGATTGTAGCCATTGTGATCATTAGGCAATAGCTGAAAATCCACTTGACCAAATCATTCATGATTGTAGTCAACTTTTCATTCCTGAACAAGTCATTCTTGATTCAGGCAATATATTTGTATGTTATTTACGAATCACATGTGCATAATGAACACATATTTCATGACTGACTAGATGTGCTATATGCATTGGATGAACACATGTTTCATACTGCTGACTCATCTAAACTTGCTCACGATGTTTCTAATGTATGATTTAAACATTCAATTGATTTACACGTTTTGCTACTGTAGTAATTAATGAACAGACATCGGTTTCGAGACGATGAAGGAGTAATTACAGGGAACGGACTAGATTCCTTAAACAATTCTTCAATCTCTTTACCAAAATTACCCATGTTCACTTGTGTATAGCTTCGTTTAATATGTACCATTTTTACAATTATTACAAAAATGTCATCAATCTTTAATCCGTAGATCTTAAAGATTAATGATCAATATTGGTTCACATAGTTAACACCAATGGTTTCGTTAATAAAAGAACAACCCCTATAGATATTATATATATATATATATATATATAGACTTGGGATCACGTGAGACCAGTCTGTTTTCGTGAGACCCGTGAGACCAGCTTTTTACACTTGAAACTTCACAACAAAATGCTGTGAAGATAACTTTCACAGTGTTTTTGCTGTAAAGTTTCAAGTGTAAAAATATGGTCTCACGGGTCTCACGAAAACAGTCTGTTCTCACGTGAACCCAACCCTATATTTATATATATATATATATATAGAGAGAGAGAGAGAGAGAGAGAGAGATATGGGAGGGATTAAATGCAAACCAAATTATTTATACAAACCTATAAACCATCGATTTCATTGTTTAATTTAATGAAATTGTTTCATATATTTTTGTTTCTATATAAAAATGAAATTGTTTCATGTATTTTTTATTTTGATAAAATTTGTTTTCTAAAATTAATATAATAGAGATAATAATGTTAATAATTAACGCCTCCACAATAAAAATGACTAATCAATCCTCATAATTAAAGAAATGTAAAAAGAATTTTTTTGATTGATTGAATGAAATTTGTACAGTTTGTATAAATGACTTGGTTTGCGATTGATCCTATATATATAAGGAGAGGTTCATTTGAGAAGTGATAAGTATTTGAGAAGTAAAAAGTGATCATAGCTCTTTATACGGTCAAAATTAGTCAAGAATTGCAACTATGATTGGTTAAAGATTGCGTCTTTGACTGATCAAGATTTACGGCTTTGACTAGTCACACGAAAAATGGAGGTTAGTTTTATAACTTTTAGAAATAGGTGGCAAACAAGTTCAGATGTGAACCCATAAGTGCATATGTGAATTAGTTAATTAGTTCATATGCACTTGTTTTGCCGCCTATTTATTAAGTTATGAAACTACCTCTCTATGTTCGGCATACTATGCGATGAATTATCCGGTACTTTACAATCAAAGCCGCAAATCTTGACCAGATGAAAAGCTAAGATCACTTCTCTACTTCTCAAACACTTATCACGTCTCAAATAAACTCATGGCTATATATATATATAGGGTTGTGTTCTGATGAGAACGAAAGTTATGGTGAAAATGTAAGAAGAGATCTCCACCTTTGGATCAAGTCTAATTAAATATCAACAGTAATGAGATGCATCAAATCAATTCCCATGAGAAGCGTAATTAATGGGGTGAGGGTGAGACTGAAAGTGATCAATGATTCAGACCCTTTCTTACGCTTCTTACATGTGAGAAGCGTAAGAAAGGATCTGAACCATTGATCACCTTTAATCTAAAACCTACCCATGAATCGTGCTTGATACGAAGATTGATCTAGTGCATCTCGGTGTATCTCATTCTAATATGCATCCAAGAGTAGAGATCATTTATTACACTTATCACCTTAACTCTCTTTATCATTGGAACCCAATCATATATATACATACATATATACATATGTACATATACACACATACATATATACATACGCACGCATGCAGGCACGCACGCACACATACACACACACATATATATATATATATATATTATGTTATAATAATATGTTATATTATATATATATATATATATATATATATATAATATGAAAGGTTTTCATTTGAGAACTCATAAAATAATGATAATCTTAACAACCGATGCATCATATCATATAACTTTATTTCACTAATAAAACAACACATAGGTTTATGCTGTTAATATATTTTGATATTACAACGTTGTTTCACCAATGAAACAACGTATCAAGTTGATCTATTTTGATAATACAATGTTGTTCCACCAAAGAAACAACATATGAGATTGATCTCTTTTGAGTATAATACTATTTCACCAACGAAACATTACATCAGTTAACATTTTTTTTTTCTCACAAAATTTTGATTTCTAACATAATCCCAATTCTATTATAAAAATTATATATATATATATATATATATATTACATATATATAATGTGAGAGGTTTTCATCTGAGAATTCAAAAAATAATGATAATATTGAGAATCGATGCATCATATCAGATAACTTTTTCCTCTACAAGCCTTATACCACAAGGGTGGTGTCTGATTAGTTTGAGCTTGATTCCAAAGGTCAAAAGTACCAGGAGGTCTCAGGTTCAAATTCAAAAAATAATAAAAATCCCCTATTCACCACGGAGGTTCATATGCGGTGACTCCAGGTTATCTGCAAAGCAGGTGGTCGTTTTGGGATTAGTCGGCTCGTATAGCAAGTTGGATATTCAGGTTAATAAAAAAACCAGTAACATCTTTATTTCTATTTTTAAAGACCAACTTAAAAGAAATTAAAAAAAAAATTGATTCGTAAAATGAAAAGGAAGGTGTTTATTTTTGTACAATTTGATTTTATCTAAAAAGTAGTATTACAATAATACTTTAATATTTTGTTTGTTTTTTTGTGACTTGTGATGATACATTTTCTTTTATTGTAAACAATAAATATATTAATAAAAAATGAAATTAAAATATACGCAAAAGTTGCCTATTTAAAGCGACTCTCCATCTACGTTTTCCTTCCCCCTCTCCTCTCCTTGCTCTTCTCATACAGCTCTGCTTCTTCAGACATTCAATTCAATTCATCCCCATCATCGGTATCCACTGTTTCTTCTTCAAACTTCCCTATTTTCTGTCGATTTCGATAACCCAACTCAAATTGTTCCTAAATACGAATTACGTGTTCTGGGTGCTGTTTGTTAGGGAAGACGACCAATTCTAATTAAAATCTAGGTTCGTGTTCATGAATCAGGAATCAGATTTTTTGAAAGCTTCTCGTTCTGTGCATTTATGATCGTAATTGAAGTAATGGAAATAGAATTAGATAAATGACGCAATAATCAGTTGTACTTGTTGGGCATAAAATAGCACATTTCTCCATAGCGTACCCTTGTTGTTTTATGTGCTTGATGCTATTGTAGAGCTTTCTGTTTCTGCCTCATAGAATGTGTTTTGCCAGTTGCAAATCCTTTTTGAGTTAATGGGACTCCTTCCTTTTCCTTTTTGAGTTAATGGGAATTCCTTTTTCTGTATTGCTTATGACTTCAATTTCTTGATTTTAGCCTCTCAAGTATGAAGATGGAGTTTGAAGGTCTCTTCAGCCAAGCTCAAAGGCAGAAATATGATTGCCTTCTTTTCGGTACATAATTCCTTTTTGAGCTCATCAATCGTTTTCGTCGCTATGAAATCAGTTTGTCATCTAATTTGTTCCTCACATTTGTTAAATGTACAGATCTAGATGACACTCTTTACCCTGTTAGTGCTGGATTGGCTGCTGGAGTTCTCAAGAACATTAAAGGTATATATATATATATATATATATATATATATATATATATATATATAAAGATCCCCCCGCTCTCTCGGGAATAGCAAGATCAGAGATGTTGGTTTCTTGATTTTTAAAAGTATCCTGTGGTTGATCAAATTTGCAGACTATATGGTTGAAAAGCTTGGAATTGAGGTGGAAAAGATCCCTGAATTGTGTAACCTGCTGTACAAGAACTATGGTACTACAATGGCAGGCATTCGGGTATGGGTTTTTGTTTCTAGTCTCTTAATTTTCACCCTCTGATTGTTCTTTTGTCCTTGTATAAACAAGATGGTATCTGAAAATTGTTATGTTATTGGTTTTTCTTTCTTGTAGGCAATTGGGTATGATTTTGACTATGATGAATACCACAGGTGAGAAAGAATACTGGTTCAATTTTCATAGGTTGATTAGTCAAGTTTGAGTAAGCCAAGATGATTGAAGTTGTGGTTTCTGTTCCTGTTTTCTAGTTTTGTTCATGGAAGATTGCCGTACGAGAATTTGAAGCCTGATCCTGTTTTGAGGACTCTTTTACTAAGCCTGCCTATTCGCAAAGTTGTAAGTCCCCTTTGCACGATTCGACAGAAAGTTTCGTGTTCTTATTCGTGGGGTTATTGCTTATGAATTGACATCTTGTTTGGTTGTTTTGTTCTGAAAACCAGATATTTACAAATGCTGATGAAACCCATGCTGCTAAAGTTCTGAGCAAACTTGGATTGGAAGATTGTTTCGAAGGAATCATCTGCTTCGAGACTCTGAACCCAGTTCATAAAAACACGATTTCTGATGATGAGGATGACATAGAGTTTGTGGGATCAACATCATCATCTTCCTCAAGTAGCAACACAAATGAGATATTCGACATAATTGGACATTTTTCCAAATCTAATTCAACCGCAGAGTTACCAAGGACACCGGTTGTCTGCAAACCATCTGAAGACGCCATTGAGAAGGCTCTCAAGATTGCCAACATCAACCCTCAAAGAACGGTAGCTTACTTGTTAACTAATCATCTGCAGTTTCTTGATGGAGTTTCATGTTGTATGCAATAAGACTAATTAACCATATAACTGTCATCAATTTTCAGCTGTTTTTTGAGGACAGCGTCCGAAACATTCAATCTGGGAAACGTGTAGGCCTTGACACGGTTTTGGTAAGTAATGTGTAAAGTGGATTGGTAAAAATGAAGCGAATGTTGCGATTTAGATACTAAAGGAAGATGTATGTATGTATGTATGTATGCAGGTTGGGACTTCCCATCGATGCAAAGGCGCAGATTACGCGTTAGAAAGCATACACAACATGAAAGAAGCGATTCCGGGGGTGTGGAAAGTGGAGAACAAGGTCGCGGATGGTGGTTATAGTTCGGGGAAAGTGGTGGTGGAGACGTCGGTCACAGCTTAATTTGAAGTGATTAAGACGAGATTTAGAGGTGTCTTGGTGTCTTAATTAGAAGAATATGTATATGTATAATCTATTATTGGGGGGGTTATGATCGATGATGGTATTTTTGGTGATCAAACTGGTTGTGTCGTTGTCAATTATAAATAATAATAATAATAATAATAATAATAACAACAATAATTAGTTCAAAATATGGTTCTTGACTTAATTTATATTAAAATTAAAATGACAAGTTTCCTGGTTCCTTGGGTGGGTGGCTGGCAAGTGGCAAATGCCAATTGTGTACGCTTCATGTGGTTGTCGTTTGTTTTTTAGTTTCAGGATTAATTAATTCTTCTAATTAGTAATTATCAGTAGGGGTGTTCAAGGGTTGGGTTGACCGGATTGAAAACATTTAAACAACTCAACCCAATGTTTGCGATTTGAAATTTTTTAACCCAACCCAATCAGAACCAAAGTGCAACCCAACCCAACTCAACCCGTACGGGTTGGTCGGGTTGGTACATTAAAATATTGTTCTAATCTAGAATATGTTATTTCTCTACTCATAATTTCTTTTTCATCATCAACCATTTGATGCAACTTATTCATACTTATTACGTATATCACATTCAGTTATTTTTCTCAATTTACATATATATGTTCACAGTTACTGAAAATGTATATGAATGAGTTATATAAAGATGTGAATAGATTGAAAATATGTGTATATGAAGAGCATACATAATAATGTAATTATCTAATGTACATATTAATATAACTTCAACAATCATATTAAATCCAAGAAATAAAAGAACATCGGGATCATCGGATTGGGTTAAGTTCAAATAATAGCAACTCAATACCTACGGTTTGACAATTTTACAACTCGATTATACATCGGGTTGCTTCGGATTGAGTTATTTCATGTTGGGTTGGGTTGGGTTGATCGGGTTGGTCGAGTTTTTGAGCACCCCTGATTATCATCGTAATTGTGATCCTTTTTTTTATAAATAATAATTATTATATAAAATATATTTCCTTTCTTTAGAAAATAAAACATATTAAATTCTTCTTAAGAAAAAGTAAGTAAAATGTTAAAGCAGTGGTTAAAAGGTAATTTTATAAAGTGTATGGTATGGGTCTTTCCAGAAATCAAAATAAAGTTGAAATTTATTTCAAGAAACAATTTGGGTTCGATCATGTGATCCCATTTCTCTCACTCCAAAACTTGCAGGCCCAAGGTCCAAAACGATGTTCATGATCCACTCCAATTCAACTCTATATAATTATAAACCAATGCCCATATCAAATATATTCGTTACAAGATTCAAGCAACATTTATTCATCTTGAAAATATTTTACTGGAAAAAGTCTAGAAAAATTCAATGGAATTTAATGTTTGGAATGATTAAGTTCTTGGACAATTTTTAAGAACAAATAAGTCCTTAGACATTCCAAAACATGTTAAATAACTTCTTAAACTTTCTAAAATCTATTAGAAACATCCTTATCACTAAAAGATTTAACCTGCAACTTGGATATCAGGTAAACTTATAAATTAAAAAACACCCTAAAACACGTCCCACTCATCGCTCTCTATCCCGCTCGTCGCTCACTCTCGCCTAATTCCCACACTTGCCCCTCTCTAATCGGTGCTACACCACCGATCCGGCCAGCCCGTCGCCGTCGCTATCGCCACTGTCTCAGCCTAGACCCGTGGCTGTCGCCACTATCCTCATCCCAGCCCCGTCGCCGGCTATCTAGCTCAAATTCAACAGGTTTGGTTCGATATTCTAAACCCTAAACCCTTTTCCTAAGCTCCAACATATGTTTTTATTGCTACTGTCTGTAATCTTCTGTAAAGAACCATCAGATTGGATCAAATGTCTTTGAAACCACTAAACTTAATGTTGTGCACTGTAGTATTATTGACTACCTTAAAAGTGTTACTTTTGGGGATTACCTAATGAACTCATTTGTAGTTTGAGGGTGAACTTTACGTTTTAGCTACATATCAAGGCTATATTAATCAACCTGATTAGGCATGGGAAAAGCTTAATGAGGTATAGTTTGTCCATCTTTGTTGTTGTGAGCTTTTAAGAATATCTAGCTAAATAAAATCATTTATTTGTTCTGATTGCTGAGAATCTTTAATCAAGACTGCTGATCTTGAGCAAATGGAAATGCCAATTTGTGTTATTTCGATGTGTTTGACATGTGGATATTTAAATAGATACACAACCACTTCAATATGTATTTATTTCTCATGTCCAATTCTAACAGGTTTGATTTCTCATGTCCAGTCCCAAGTGATACGTGGGGGTCTCTTATAATCCAATTACATGAGAAGCAATGATTGAGATAAGCCATTATTTATTTTTAAAATTCAAATAACATTTTTAATGATTATTGCTTACACTTTATCTTAATCATTAAAGACATCATCAGGTGTGCCACAACCAGCATGGCCGAGGGCATCCTACCATATTCAATTTCAAGAGAGATTGTTGTTAATGATGAAGACCGCGATGAAGGTGATACTACTGTTGGTGATGAAGAACATTATGAGAGTGATTATGTTGTTGGACATCAAGAAGCGTTACAAGAAAGTCAAATGGTTATATCTTCACGAGAAAGTAATGATGCAAATGAAAAATAGTTCATACCATTAACTTAATATAGATTAGGCGTTACTTTGGTATATTTTAGCGCAACTTTTGCTATTTTTTTGGCACAACTTTTGGTACAACTTTTGGTATACTTGACACAACTGTTGATATTTTTTTGGCCCAACTGTTGGTATTTTTTGGCATAACTGTTGGTATTTTTTGATGCAATTTTTGTTATATATTTTGGTTCACTTTTGGTAAAATTATGCCTAATTTTGTATGCAGATTATTTATGCTTTGGATACAACTTTTATATTTTGGGAAGAGTAATGAGAATGATATATTTGTTTCATTTTATAAATGTAAGTACTTTTTTCGTTCAAAAAATGTTTATGGATATGATTATTCAAAATATGAAAGTCCATTGGTTTTTTTGGACTTTTTCTATATTTTACCATATTAACCAGTTTTATAGATCATAAAGATGTATCTAACATGTTTTAGAAAGTCTAAGAAGTTATCTATCACGTTTTGGAATGTCCAATGACTTATTTGTTCCAAAAAATTGTCCAATGACTTATTTGTTCCAAAAAATTGTCCAATGACTTAATTATTCCAAACACTAAAGTCTATTGATTTTTTTAGATTTTTCCTATTTTATATATATAACTAAATAATATGCAGTAGGCATGCTCCAATGCCTACTCCAAGATTCAAGCAATATATCCTAATATGTATATTATCACCTACCAAATCTGTGACAAAGTCATCCAAGATGAAATAAATCTAAATCTTGAGTGTTAGTTCAACTTCTAATAAGACTTGAACCTCTAGGGCTCCTCCTTATAAGCAACCGGTTATGGATTTTTCTTAGTTCTTGTCTAGGACCTCATAGAATTAGTCGAGATGCACACTAACTAACTAATAGTTGAGAAATCTTATTTATAATGAATGTTTTATTACCAACTCATCATGATGTACATTATTCATTATGAATGGTGTATTAATTTATTATTCATAATGAATGTTGTATTATTCATCATGAATGTAGAACTCAGGAACAAATGTTGCACTCTCCTTTATCCTCCAATTCAAAAGTGGCTCGACTAACCCGTAATTGCATTCAATGAAACACACAGGCGTTAAAGATGCCAAATGTGTATCTTTAGGAGAATGCATGAATCGACACACTTTGTTGATAGCGAAGAGATATCAGGGCAAGTGAAAAGCATATACAAAAGGCTGCCAACAACATTATGATGTTGTTTTGAGTTACAAAATTCATGACTATCCGTTGCTGACAACACCATAGAGGAGGCCATTAGAGTCTGCATTGGTTTGACATCGAGCATTCTAGCTTATGTGAACAAATGGATGATGTATTTTGATTGAGTTAACTGCATACCTTTAGAACATTTAGAGACCCCATTACCCATAAAGTATGACAGGTCACTAAAACGTTTCACAGGAAACTTAATGGCCAACATGTTACATAGATTATTGATACTAAAAGAGGAGACCCTGTAATATGATGTCATCAACATACACATAGATGGAAATGCTCGCTCGAGAAAAGCAGAATAAGGATGGGTCAGTACGGTAAGGGCTCAAGTCCTAGGTGCCATTTTATTGCAAGGCATTCATATCGTCGTTGAGAGCTTGAGTCGAGTTTTAAGTCACACAAGGCTACTGTAATGCTATAAGGTGTTGTAACAGAACATTCAACAATGTATGTACCATGTTTAGAATGATTGAAACTCACCCCCAATATGTTTGGAAATATTTGATACAACAATTAAACAAAAGTCTGATTTGGTTATGAAACATTAAGAAAGTGGGAAGTGGAACCATTGTGGTTGATGGGTAGAGAGGACCATCATCAACATAAACGTAGTCAGATCCATTTTAGGAGGAACTTGTGTCGAACAAGTTAAAATCATCCATCACGTGTTTATTTGCATTGATATATGGATATCATAGATGGTTGGACGAATATTGGGCATCAACATGTTTGGGTTTTCCTCTGAACCAGGTTCAGGAACCCCCCTCCCCTCCAAAAAAATTGAAAAAACTGAGGAACGCTTGTAATCTTTCATCTGGACGATATACACATGTGTATACACGTAATTGAAATTGTTTTCTTGGTTTTTATGCACGTGTGCATGTTAAACACATGTGCATATTGAACACATTTTTTATAAGTTACTTGTATGCACATGTGCATACCATCAAGGTGAATGATTACCAAAGTGTTTCTCGATTTTTCATTTTTTGTGGTTTTTCCCTAAACTTGATTACTTGAACATATATATATATATATATATATATATATATAGCGGGATGGGGACGGGGATCCACGTTTGTCTCAAACCGGGGACAGAGATGGGTATGGTACTCCCCGCCACATACCCGTTATATATATATATATATATATATATATATATATATATATATATACACACACACACACATACATATGTGTATATTCTTTATTTCAACTAAAGCATTAGTTCATAATTTCTTATTTCCTAACTAAGTTTATAATCTAAATTGGTTTTTTATGTTAATATG